AAGTTGGACTGTCTTTCTTGACACCTAACCTGCAGCACCCCATTTTTTTGCACTTCTTTCACTGTCATGCACTTCAATACTTAGTCTTGAAGGAAACCAAGCAACCTCTCATCTTGAGTGGCTAAACTGAAATGTGTTAGAGGTGTGGAAGAGAGGGAAGAAAGCTGCCAAGTCATCTCTGAGAAACTTCTCCTTTGGTTGAGAACTTGTGTTCTTGATTTTTCAGCTGCTTACAGCCTGTAGACAGAGCTCTCTTTCTCTGTTATACATACAAGAAACATAAGGCTGTTTTTTTGTCTGTGTGTGCTTTGAAGCCCATTTTACTACTCCTTGTTAAACCTCTGCCAGTTCCCATGCAAAAAGGAGTGAGTCCTCTGTGTCTGCCCTGTAAGGAGCGAAGTCACTGTTCTGCAGCAAGCTGAGGTATCTCCAGGTATAGGACCCATTTACGGTAGAAGAGACCTTTCCCGTTTTGGGCAGGAAGAGGCCAAGAAGTGGTAGAGGCAGGTCTGAGTGGGGTCTGGGGAAGTTCTTTCCACTATGGGAGCAGACCAGAATTTGAAGGAGATGCTCCTTATCCACAGGTAAGTGGCTGAAATGTGAGCAAGAAAAGGGACAAGTTCTGTAGTTGTAACTGAGGAGGAAGAGCTACATGGGTGTGGGCCTGTGTGAAAAGCCATGGGAAGCTAAATTTAGAAGCTACTGACCTAGGATGGCAGAATTTTGCCTGTTTTCTGTCTTTTACTCTCCTTGGGGCTCCAGGTTTTAGAGGAAGTGCAGACATCTGCTGGGCACTTTAGTGGAAGGATGGTAGCTCCTGCCACATGCTGCCCTGGGTGTAGCTGGAATGCAGATTGATGGCACGGCACGGCTATTGAGTTAGAGGAGAGGTCAGGTTATTTTCCTCAGGACAATGTGTTGTGCATGCTCTCTGTTTCCCCCAGTCATTGGCTTGATTTATCTTCCTGGGGAGCACAGGGAACACCCCAGAAGTCTTTTTACCCTTGCCAAGATTAAATGAGCACCTTTATACATGTGATCCCCAAAGGTATTTCAGCCTCAGGGCTTTGAAAAAAATCAAAAGCTGTTGCATGTGGGAGCTCAGTGGGGAGGGTTCTTTTTGCTTCCTGGACATGTGGCAATAAATATCAGTGACATTTCATGCCAGACTATGCCACATTACCTAGCCCGCAGTGGGAGTTAATGCCTTTTCTGCCTGTATAACTGGTTGGGTTAATGTCCCTCCTTGAGGTCTAAAATACACAGTGGACAGTTTTGCTAAAAAAGAGGCGCTGTCTTCAGGTGGGTGCAGTCATGAGATTGCTCCAGGTGCTTGAGGAAGCCTCAGAAACTCCATAGTGTTATAAATGATCAATTGAAAGCCAAATTATCAAAAATGTGAAAAGATTTTGTTTTCCTTTTTCTGTGCCCAAAAAACGGTCCTCAAAACAGCCAAAGAGACAGTGTCAAGCCCGGGATTGGTGCTGGGTGAACCTGGATCTGACCTCTATCGCATCAGATCTACCCCCAGTCACGAGCGCTGCTTTTTGCAGGGCTGTTTTATACAGATTTTATGCCCGAGACAGAGAAATCCCAGTTTCTTTTGTAACTCTGCATATTCAAGACAGTTTCTTTCACTGTGCAGAGCTGGACAATTGCTGTTTCCTGGTTGATAGCCGGTGTTAGTCACGTGCGGGGAAGTCGCGTATTCAGATGTATCTTTCTGGCGACTCCTGCTATCTTGATTGATGGTATCAACAGGGCGATGATTGTCCTTGGGCATCTTCTGATCACTCGGGATAGTGGTGATCATTGCGCTGGCCATGTCTATTCATAAGTGAACTGAGTGTTGTTCTCCTGCCACTTTCAGGAATCTTGGAATTCAAGTTGATGTCTATCTTTGGGCTGCTTGTGGTCAGAGACTTGTTTGGATTTCACAATCTTATAAAATACACCTCTCTATAAAGCATGAATTATTTCATAACATATATTACAACAGGGATGTGCTTTCTTCTGACCAACTTTGAGCAGGTACTGGATCCACTCAGCAGCAGCATAATTTGATGGTGTGGATGTCTCATTAAGCTTCCTAAGTTGCACTCCTCACTCCACTCTACCGATGACTGGATGTGGGGTCAGCATATTGAGCTTTCGGTCTGTTTTAAATTAGTGAGCTCACTTGGGTTCACAAAAGTTTTGCCAAATGCTGTCAAGTTTGCCCTGTTTTGTTGTTGCATGGTCATGCTGGTTTGAAAGTAAACTGGTGTGTCAAATGAACCCCACTCAACAACCTTAAGAGAGATTACAGGTCAGAGTTAAAATTTATTAAAGAGATTACGATAAATACAATAATATAGAGAAAAGTGGTTTTAACCCACAATGACTGAATACAACCTGGCACCCTGTTGGTCAGGGTGATGGTACCAGTCCTGTTGAAGTTCTGGTCCTCCTCTAAATCTATCAAGTGGTGGTGCCAGAAGTTCCCAGGCCTAAAGATTTTATACACTGATGTTTGTTAGGAAAATTAATCCACAACGCCAGAGGTTTGTGTCCGAAAAGGACACAGAGGAGTCCTGTAGCTTTATTCGTGAATGAAGGGGGAGATAATGGGGCATTTTCTATAAGGTCTCTCAAAATGATGGAGGATGCAGCCTCCTTTGTATCCTGATTTCCCAGCCAATTTTCCCTCTCTTTTTCCCAATTGGCTGAGGTACTTGAGAAGTACAGAATTCCCTAATGGCCTTATACAGACCCCCTTCCAATGCGCACAGCCCACAACCCCAAGCCCCCATCCCTCTTTTCTTTATATCTCAGTTCTGTTTCTCTAAGTCCAAGAAGTTAGCAAAGCTTGGGTGAGCAACAGTGTCAATTGGTGGAATTCCTCTGGAATTTATGTTTCTTCCCATTGTTTTTTTCACCTATTGATATCTGGCCTTATCTACAAACAGGTCCACAGTTTGTAAAGACACCTCCCTCTCATTCCTTTCAGGTTCAGATGGGGATGCTCAGTACCTCTCTCAGGGTGGAGAGTTTCACAATTCATGAGGTAACACTGTGTGAGTCATGGGATATTTTGAGAGTCCTTGATAGTTTAAGTGTTGCAGCTGCCCATACTGCTGTCCCATTGAGTCCTTTATGGCCCATTAGCAGAGATGACCCCTCAGGCTCTCACCTCACAATCTGGGTGTGACTGGGCTGATGTTTCCTCGGTGGGAGTTATCACAGCTGAGTCATTGGCATGAAGAAAAAGGAACTCTGCCCTGTATCACAGGGTTTGCCTCTCCTTCTTATTTAACACCTGGCTCATAGGCCTGAGGGGTCAGGTGTGCATTGGGCAGCTCCTGCAAATCAGTTCATCAGAAATGAAGTAGAGGGGCATGGAATACACCTGTAGCTAGGACAGTGGTAAAGCTGCATCCTCCTACAACATGGAGTATGCTTCATGTAGAGGTAATTCATGCTATATATGTATAAAATATTGTAGAATCCAAGGTATGTCTTTGACCACCCTGGCTGGGGGCAGAGTCTTATACTTATTCAAGCAGTTCCCGGACAATGTTAAGACAATATCAAGTCTGTTAAGGTATGAATGAAACCTTCCCGGGCCATGACTGCTGACTTCCCTGGAATGCCTAAGCCACTCACAACGACCTGCACCTGGGAAGGTTGCATCTACCATACTCAAGCACCGGCGCCACTCTGCTACATGTGAATGCAGACTCTTCTGAAGTGAAATAAACAGGGCCAGGANTATCTACAATATCTTCTCTCGGCCCGACAGAGGTCCGCACAGCACGTCAGCCATGAGCACACTGCGTGCCCTCGGGGCGGTCAGTTATCTTTATACCCAAAATTACGTATAAGATATTTACCTTTTCCCCCAATACCTTTCACCCTTATTGACAAGTGCACTTTTAGTAAGAACTAATCTCAAAGTGCCACCACCACCACAGAAGATGGACGACAAGAAGAAGAAGAAGGAGGACAGGACATGCCCCAATTCCTCCATCTTGTCTTCCTAGCACCCCTCTGTACCGAGATTCTCAACCCTGTGTTTCACACCATAACTAATCTGTCCCTTCACCATTTATCTCCCTGTGATTCTCCCATTCTCATACAGATGATGTTTCCTGTGCTGGATCAAAGTCCAACCACCAGACACTTCTGGCCACGTTCCAGGACCTCCGAGCCCCCCAAGGGTTGTCTTGGTGTCCCTGCACATCAGGACTGCTGTGCTGAGATCCCACATCCAGTTTGTGCCTTTCCAACAGTTCAAAAATATATGGTTTTTTTTTTAATTCAGAAGAGTCCCATTGCCAGGATGTATGCATCCTAAAAATGACCACGCAAGCTGCATGCTCAGAGGACATGCCTGTGCAGCTTGTTCCTAGTGAGAGTTGAGATGTTGGCTTCTGTGTTCAAAGCTGTATCTTGCTGTCTTGCCATTCTTGAGAGCCTTCATTGTATAATTGATTTCGCATACTGTCTCTTGGTTATTGCAGGATTAAAGGGGATGTTCTCTGTCCTGGTATATGAACATTTAGTAGAGAACTGAGATCATACTGTCAGTCTCTGATGTTGAGGCCCATGAGTGATTGAAGTTGAGGTCAGTCTTTGCTGCTGTTGAAAGCAGTCCAGTCACACACCAGCTCCCTGACTTTCACTGTTGGCATTGGTGTTTATGCATTTTGCATAGTCTATTGGCTTGAGTGATTCAAATGAAAACCCAAAGTGAGAGACCTTGCTAGTGGCTAGGGCAGTTTTCATCAGACTGGGGCCACATAAGGGCTATGTGAGTCTGAGGTTGAAGTGAGAACAAGTGGTTTTCATCAGCAGTGTTCACTGAGACTGACTGGAAGTGCTCCTAAAGCTGTAGCAAGCAATTATTAAAACTGAATGAGCAGGGGAGGTGTTCTGAATTCTCTAAGAGAGTGTTTCACTAGGCTACCAAATCTGTTCTTTGTGGTATTTTTGATTTATTCTCCCCGTTCTCTTTTCAGGCTTCCCAGGAAGCACTTTCCCAGATAGTTCTGGCTGAAGTGCCCAAGCAGCTAGTGTCATAATATGAATGGCCGGGATGGCCTCCCCTGAAACTGCCAGAAGTCAAAGTGGTGTAGATTCAGCTAGCCCTGGCTACCTGTAGCACTGGGGTGAAGGAGAGCCGCCTGCAGCCACACTCTCTCTTGCACACTGTGGATGCTCAGTGCCTTGAGATTGCACCAGTCACACCACTTCTTTCACTTGTTTGCACTGAGTCTTTGATCTTTCAAAGATTTCTATTGAAAGAAATGTAAATACAGAAAAACCTCCAAGTGCTGGAAGTTTTTGTCACAGAAAGGTTGACCTTGTTTGTTTTCCACCTTGCAACAGCAACACTTTGTGATACATCACACTGCACATAGTTGCTTGACACAGCCCATCTGCTGCTCACTATGAGGGTAGGCCTCTGAACTGAGCTGCTCTAGTGCTGACCTTGGTGATAGAAGTGTTGCACCTGTGTTTGCTGTAATGACACTTACCATGTGCTACTGGATAGGTGTCTTTTATCAAGCTGCTTTCAAATGGATGTGACCAAAGACTGTTGGTTGGATGCCTGAGGTAGTTCCTGTTGTCTTCATAAAGTGCCAGTATATTTTTTTTGTGTTTCAGTGACCATACCTTTTTGACCATACCTTTCTTTTTAATCACATTTTTCTATTAGCAAAATTTCTTTCTGTGATGAACTCCTGCTTGAAGCCATTGTTATAGTTCAAGAACACTGCACTTGGCTTATTTATGTGGGTTAAATGAGAATTAATCATTAATTAATGGAATTGGGGTGAGATTAATGAGTCATATTAATGTGACTTTAAAAATCCTGCAGATGGAAACACTGAAATGAAGATGCTTTGAGTGAATTCTTTATATCACACAAGTTACAAAGTGAAGAAGTAACTTTTCTGTGGAAGTCCAAGGAGGTGCCACCTCGGTAGTGTGAAGTGTGCATTACATGATCTGGGGACTGTAGAACAGGCATATGATAGCAAAGCACAAATGTTTTGAGGAAGTTGGTTTATTTCAAAGTAGAGAAAAAAATCTTGGGGTTGTCATTGCATGAAACTACAAGTTTCAACACTTTCAGTTATATAAATAAATACCATACTTTGACTTAGATAACATGTCTGGACTCTGGTTTCCTTCCTGGACTTTTCCCTTTGTTTTCCAGCAATGTGGATGGTGATGTTTCAGTATCTGAGCGAGCCTAGGTTCAGTGAGATCCAAATAAAAAGCAGAGCCAGTTGTCCATCATTGTTAATTTTGTTCCCCTTTAAGACTGCTGAATCCCACAGCCCTTTCCTGCAGCAAAATAAGATATTCCTTTACTGTGAAGTTGCAAAATGTATTCTCACCATCTTCTGGTTTATCTACCTGATAAACCAGAAGATGGTGAGAATACATTGACAGACTGCATCTGTGATCCAGGCCCTGAAACTTAAATTACAAGCTTGAGTGAAAGAAGAACTTGGGGTTGAATTCACAGAATTCACAGAATGACTAGGTTGGAAGAGACCTTCAAGATCATCAAGTCCAACCCATACCCTAACACCTCAACTAAACCATGGCACTGAGTGCCACATCCACGTGCATGGATGGTGACTCCACCACCTCCCTGGGCAGGCCATTCCAGTACTTTATCACTCTTCAGTAAAAAACTTTTTCCTAATGTCCAACCTATGTTTCCCCTGGTGCAGCTTAAGACTGTGTCCTCTGGTTCTGTTAGTTGTTACCTGGAGAAAGAGACCAACCCCCACCTGGCTACAACCACATTTCAGGAAGTTGTAGAGAGTGATAAGGTCACCCTCAAGTCTCCTTTACTCCAGACTAACAGCTCCCTCTGTCATTCCTCACAGGGTTTGTATTCCAAGCCCCTCAGCAGCCTTGTTGCCATCCTCTGGGCGTGCTCAAGTGTCTCAAAGTCCTTCCCAAACTGAGGGCCCAGAACTGAACGCAATACTCAAGGTGGGTCCTCACCAATGCCCAGTGCAGGGGCAGAATGCCCTTCCTGCTCTTGCTGGCCACACCACTCCTGATCCAGGCCAGGAGTCATTGGCCTTCTTGGCACCAGGGCACACTGCTGGCTCACATTCAGCTGGCTGTCAACCAGTAGCCCCAGGTCCCTTTGTGCCTGAGCACTGTCCAGCCACACCGTCCCCAGCCTATAATGTTGCAGGGGGTTATTGTGGCCAAAATGCAGAACTGGGCACTTGGATTTGTTAACTTTATCCTATTGGACTCTGCCCATCCATCCAACCGTTCCAGGTCTCCCTGCAGAGCCCTCCTACCCTCCAACAGATGGACGCTCCCAGCTTGGAGTTGTCTGCAAATTTACTAATGGGAGACTGAATACCCTCATCCATGTCATCAATAAAAATATTGAACAGAGCTCGCCCCAGGACAGAGCCCTGAGGGACACCCCTGGTGCCTGGCTGCCAGCTGGATACAGCACTGTTCACCACCACTCTCTGGGCCATGCAGCCAGTTCTGAGCCCAGCACAGAGGGCTGCTGTCCCAGCCCTGGGCTGCAGCTCTTCCAGGAGTGTGCTGTGGGAGACAGTGCCAAAGACCTTGCTGAAGTCCAGATATACATCAACATCTACAGCCTTTCCTGCATCCACCAGGAGGGTCACCTGGTCATAAAAAGAGACCAGGTTGGTCAAACATGACCTACCCCTCCTAAACCACTGCTGGCTGGGTCTGATACCCTGGTAGTCCTGCAAGTGCTGCATGATGACACTCACTATAAACTGTTCAATTACCTTACAGGGTACTGAGGTCAGNTTCGATACGCGGGCTGCCCCAAGGCCACCCCGGGCCTTCCAGGCCCCTCAAACAGCCGAGATAATCCGGGCAATTGGCGGTCCCTGGCTGGGCTCCACCACCACAACCTTTCGGGGAGATTAACCGGACATATGGCCCCAGTTCTACATATGGAGAGACACAAAGGAACATTCAGTCATTTCTGCCCCAGGCAGAATAAACTGTATATAAGCTGGCTGCATGGAGCAGTCGGTGTGAACCTCTGGGGAGACACTGACACTTTGTCGGTCGCATCCAAGTTCACCCAGCGCCGATCCCGGGGTTAATGCTGCCTTGGCTGTGGTGGTTTTTTCGAAATTATATTTTTGTTAATGATCTAATAAATCATTGCTAGATTTTCTTATAAATTTGGTTGCCGATTTGATAATTTATAACACTTCGCCAACATGTACATGCTTCACCAACATACACAACATACAGCATGCTTCCACCACCCCCAGCACTGCTTTTCAGATGGTCCAGGAAGTGCTTGTGCAAAAGGGGAATAAAGGGAATATCTGCAGGGCCTGCTTCGAAGCAACTGGCATTACACAGATATGATTCATTCTTTGGTGTTTGTGGAGCTGAATAAGCTGCTCTGGCCTTCTGCAAAGCACTCTGTACTGTGTTCATGGAGGTGTATGGAAAATCATGCTATGAAAAGCCAGTGTCCACAGAGGAGACAGATGAATCCTGAAACTTTATTTCAATCAAGAGAGAGAGTCCACTTTTCTCTCTCGAGGATTTGCAGGCTGCAGCGTCCTTTAATCCTAAACTCCTGGCCACATATTGCCCTCTTCCTTTGCCCATTGGCTGAGGCACCAGGAAGGTACAGCCCTCCTGAATCGCCTACCACATATTCCCCCTTGAACCTGTCATTTTACAGCAGACTTCAGAAGTTCAGGCTTGTGTAGACCTACTTGTCTGTTTCAGGAGCCAAATTGTCTGGGCTCTGCAACAAACTAAATTTAGTAGAGACATTAAGACCCATTTCAAGCTAACACCCATACCTTCACTCATCAAATTCTTTGTAAAGGCATTAGCACGTCTTTCCAATAAGAAGTGTTTGGTGCTGGGTGCTGAGAGGGAGAAGCAGACCCTCAGGAGGAAGAAATGCCCTCCAAAATCTGCTCAGTTCATGATTGTTTGACTGCTTTAATCTGGTTTGAATTTGTGCTTTGAAAGAACTCTGGCATCTCTATCAGCTCTCGAGTAGATAGGATGAACTGGATTAGGCCTGGGGGCTGCAGCAGGGAGCACAGCCAGCTTCTGGCACCAGGTCTCCCTCCTATATCCCTCCTTTTGAGGTTGCCAGCACCCTGTGGAGTAGCTGAAGCTCCCATACCACTGCCTGTGGATTTTGATGCTTGTCTCTGCCCTGAAGATATCTGGCAGCTGGTGTGCTGTCCCAAAGTGCTCTGGCATCTTACCTCCACTGAGCAGCACCTCAGGTCCCTGCTCAGGAGGCTGCTGAGCATGTACTGTTTCCTCATGTCAGAGAAGCCCAACCCTCACAATCTGAGCTGCCCTTTCCCACCCTCGCTCTATTTGTTTTGGAGTGTTTTAGCTGCAGGACCTGTGATTTTGTGCTGGGGACGGTGCAGGGCTGAGGCTGAAAGCAGAGCCAGGCTCTGTATTCACAAATGGTGTCTCTCAGTTCTGAATTCAGCAACCCATGTCCTTCCAAGCACCAGCTTAAGCATGGCCATGTGATGACTTCACTTCCCCAGCTGTTTCCTGCAGTGCTTCCTGGGGGTCCCCGTGGTCCAGGGCTCTCTTAGCCAGCAGAGGTGCATTCTGGGGGACTCAGCCCGGTGGGTTGAGGGAGGGAGGCAGTACAGTCAGGGCTTCCCCTCCTCCCTGTGTCCCTCAGCAGGGGCTGCCCAGCCCATGGGCCACTGGGGTGTGGAGAGTCTGGCTGGACCGGCTGGGTGAGTCGAGGTTGAGTCACTTTGGGTGGTGCACGCTGAGCGGAGGCAGCAGGACCCACTACCAGCTCCATGGCGCTCAGTGTTGGTGTCCGGCGGCTCTCCCAGCTGCCGGGCCATGGCGAGCGGCAGGTCCATCTCAGCTTCCGAGGTGGGCTCAGGTGGCCCGGAGGGTGGGGGTTTGGGGATTTAGGACTGGGGACTGTCTTCTCCTGCCAGCACCTTATGCCTCCTCTCTACTTCTCAAGGCTTCACCCAGAAGACAAGAAAGGTCTGCTGTGGCCCAGAGGCCGTCTTCAAGGAGGTGAGGAAACTGGGATCATGGGGAACTTGTGGGACTGGGATGGGACAAGTCAGTGTCTCAGTCATAAAATCATAGATTGGTTTGTGTTGGAAGGGATCTTGAAGATCATCTCATTCCAACCCCCACACCATGGACAGGGCCACCTTCCACTGGACAGTCTTCTGGGAATTTCTCTGCTGTCTCCTTCTTCCTCTCTGCTCAGAGGGGCAGATGGATTCCTCACATTGTGTATGTGACCTACGTGTATAAGCCTCCAGGAACTGAAATTCAACTGAGTGACACTGCCTGGAAGCCTGGGCATATCAAAGCTGAAGGCAAAACTCCCCCTGTCCTCAGAAAGCCAGACTGTCACTGCAGTTGATGCCTTGTGGGACAGGAGTGCGACTTGTGTGTTTGAGTGCGTGTATGTGTGCATATGTGTGAGTGTGCAGGGGCAGGGATGGGGTGGCCTGGGAAGCATGTCTGTTCCTTCAGTGCCATCCCCACTGAAGCCTGTGACAGCCCACCTGTGCTGTGCCAGTGGGTGGTTCCCACCTGTCCCTTGCTCAAGTCCCAGTGCCAATGTGCTGCCTGGGGAAAGGCAGTGAAGGTGGCAGGGAGCAGCAGGCACAGCCACTGTTTTGGATGTGTGGTGAGTTGAAGCCTCAGAGTGCAGCTTTTGCAGCTTTTCTCTAAGCCAGATGACTCCCTGCCTGGGTGGTCACTTCTCCCCAAGCACCTCTGTACGTTCCCATGTTCTGTCTCACTCCACAACCTGCCAGCTCAGGAACTCCAGCAGGCACAATCATCCTTCTTTTTCCAGGGTGGTGCTGCTTTGACTTCTGTAGCAGAGCAGCAGAACTTCTGACTTCTGGCTTGTGGTTCTGTGCTGCTGGAGGGGCTCTATGCCTGGCCAGCAGGAAAGTAACTTCCCATCACAGCTGCTTTTCACCATATCCATGGACTTGATCACCTCACAGGGGAGCCAACCAGCCATGAGACATAGGAAAGTTGTCATCCCTTCTTGCTCCATTTGTTTGCAGCTCTTTCGCTGGCCGCACTATGGGAAGCTTGTCATGGGTGAAATGCTGTCCATTAAGGTTTACAACTG